TATACAAATTATCTTCACACAACTTTATGTTAGGAAAAAAGGGGAAAAAAAGCCACTTGAAATCCCAACGCCCATACGCACACGCGGGCGTCCACACACCTGCACACGTGCCTTTCTCCAATCTACAAAGGTGACCACGCTTGATAACTCTGGAGTCTGCTTTTCTGAACACATCACAACGCTCTCTCAATTATAGTAAATAAGTTTCCATCTAAATAAAAATCGTCATCGTCTCCCTTCTAACAGCTGCAAAAACAAAGGATGCACCATAAATGATTCCATCAATCCCCTTCTACTGGGCACACAGGTCATTTCCGGCTTTCAATGAACATACGCAACGTTGCAACGACTGTTCTCATACACGGCCAATTCTTAGTATTTACAGATTCTGTAGTTGCAAATTCTCCTACTCGCTAATTTTGTAACCCCAAAATCAACACTCAGGGTGCTTTCAAGGTCGTCTGAGAACGTGACCCGAGAACCAAGCAGTGAAAATCTCAAGATGCCCAACACGCACATTCCCGGCTGAGGTCCAACGAGGCAGAGGGCCCTGCCCTCGGGCTCCAGCTCCCGTCACCGCGAGGACCGGAGGACAGCCAGGGGAGGAGCTCAGGCTCCGGGGCGGCTGCGCTGGGTTTGAATCCCTCCACCGCGCCCCGTTAGTGGGGCAGCTCCAGCAAGTCGGTCAACACTCCTGAACCTCGTTTTCCCTTTTGTAAAATAAAGAAAACAGAATCTACCAGAAAAAGCCGTTTCCGGGACATGAGATTGTAACTGACGTGAGACACGCAGGTGCATTATCTCCCCCAGGAGCCACGGTTCAGCATCTGCCAACTCGGCGACTTTCTCGAACTTGACGACCAGGGACAAGAAGAGCCAACGTGCACAGAGGCGTGTGGGTCAGAGGCTGTGCGCGCTGGGGGGCGACCGGCCCGGTCGTGTCCCGTGTCCTGACTCCTCCAGCACCCCCTCCCCACAAGCACACAGACGGGAGCGTACCTGAGATGGAACCCAGAAGGACGCTGCTCTTAATGCACCTGTAGACATAGTCATAGCTTTCGGCTTTCAGCGGGGAGCCGGTGGACAGGACCGTATGAAGCGTCTGGAGACTGTGGGTTTCCACTAGGGCGAAGGACCACGGAAAGATTAAAACTAAATCCGACACCTGTAGCCTGGCCTGCGTGCAGGAAACAGGTAACGGAGCAGCTCTGAGTTGCCTGGCTGGCAAGACGGGGAACGGGCCAGGTGCTGCGAGAGGCACGCTTTACTCACTTGGCTTCAGGTCTTTCTCTTCGAGCACAGCCAGCCACTTGGCACCCGTTCCAAGGATGGTGATGCTAAGGGCACGGGAGGGGAAGAAAACAAACTCTCAGGCTCCTGCACAGGCCATGCACCGAAGCCTTCTAAAATTAGTGACTCCTTGCTGACAAGTCTGCAAAATCCAAGACACGTCACTTTCCTGGGCTGAACTGATGCTCGCTATTGAGTTCAGAGTGAGTCACGACACTGTGTTTACCGTCGGGGTACAGCAGGGACAGGTCTGCACGCTGACTCTTAACATGCCCAGAACCCTGGGTCCCCGGACCATGAGGCTCCGTGGAAGAAAACGACCCACACGACAACCCGCTATCTTCCCGATTACGGGATAATTTTCTCTTTTTCGGCCAAAGGAAGCCATAAAATCAAGACCTCTCGGCCGGCCCCACATCGACTTCGCGCTCAGGCCACCAGGGTCTCCTTCCCCGGCACACCTATCTCAGTCCCGCTCAGGGCCTGGGCTCTCGTATTCCCTCTGCCTGAACGTGTCGTGGCCCCTCCCCAGGTATGGAGGTTCAAGTCCCAGCCCCGGTGCCCTTGCCTCCGAGGGTCTCCCTGACCCCAGGGCACCAGTGGCACTTCTTTGTCTCTCTCCTTCCCCATTCGGGTGCCAGCCCCTCGAGGACAGGGACCTGTCCACCTCCACCACCGTGCATGCCCCGGGGCCCGGCGGGGCAGCGGCACAGAGCGCACACCCGGATATGCGCGGGTGCGCAAATGATACCGGCAAAGGGGCGTCCAGCAAGTGCACTTTGCAAGGTGAGCTTGTCGGCCCGTCACCAGGCTCCACCGAGAACTCTCGCACTCAGAGACAGGTGACACGGGGTAATCCAGGTGGCTTTGATGCAGGCCCAGTTACTGGCACAGCCCACACAGAAGACCCCAGACTTCTGGCCCCAGCCCTCACCCGAGTATTCCCAGAACCCAGAAATACACCCCAAATGATGAAGAAAGCCCGTCCTTTGAAAGAACCTTGTCTGTGCCGACACAGCAAGCGCCCAGTCACCAACCGAGGGGGCGAGTCCGTGCGCCGGCACGTTATCAGTCGGCGAGGATTTCAGTCCTACGTTTATCGACGTTATTTTAAAAACCAGACGCCCTGAAACGGCCCCACAAGATCCCTGCCGTTCAGCCGCTCGGAAGGGCCGCAGCTCGTGCTACAAACCGGCAGGATCTGACGTGACCACATGCGACTCAGTTTTTAATTTTCGCCTCACCTGACACGCACCCCCCTTTCGATCGCCGCTGGCAGTGGGAACAGGCGGCAGAGGCCTGAGGCCCTTGCACACTCCCCTCCCCTCGGCTCCCGCCCAGGCCGTGCAGCCGCACCAGCCTCCGTGAACCCGGTGGGCAGGCTCCCCGGCCGGGTCCAGGGCGGCCAAGGCCACGTCTCTGGCAACATCTGGGGCACGAGCCAACCGGGGCTCAGGACGTGCCTACCACATGGGCCCAGAGCACAGACCTGTGAGTGTCAGACCTGCACCCACGTGCACGCACACCCACACCTACACGCACACGCAGGCACACCCACATATGCACTCACTCTTGCTCACGCACACTTACACACGGTCACTCACCCTTGTGCACACATGCACACACATACACATGTGCACATACACAGACACACACAGAGCTGGGTTTTCCTGGGGCTCTTCATCCTTCAAATTCTTTAGCATCGAACCCCGATAATGCACATTTTCTGACCCCCCTCCTGTCACACGCGCACACACACACACACACACACACGCACGCACACACCAGAAAGTGTCCCCACCTGGAGCCTGGTTCACAGGTATTAAGGGTAAAGCTCTTAAAGCCATCTACGTTCCCAGAGATTCGATTAACCTTTCGTTGGAAAACAGTCTCATTAGGAAATAACCTTCCTCACCAATACTGGGAGCCAAATGTCAGGATTTAAATATTACCCAGGCCAGGCAAAGCTATATTTGAAATATTAATGGCCAAGGATGTAAAAACGTTGGTGGCTCCTTCTGTTTCCCCACCGTGAATGGATTCAGACTTAAAGTAACGAGCACATTTCAGAGCACGGCTGCTTCCGGGCCCCCAGGGTCTGCTGGTTCTATATTCTCACTCCTGGAACCACGATCATTAGGCCAACAGTGACCACGCAGCACAGTGGTGAGGACACCTCGGTCGGTTACGATTAACTCATTAGCAGAGGAAGCACTCCCACGCGGTCGGTCTCCTGACCATTTCCCACGGAGGTGAGGAGAGGGGGCCCCGTGTCCTTCCCCATTTTCTGCCTCTGCTCCTCAGGATTCCCGCGTATCACTCGATCAAGGGACGAGCCAGGACCGCACGGAGGACAGACCCCCTCACACAGCGTCTGCGGGAGCACTGTGGAGCAATCTCCTGACGGGCTCGAGGAGACCCAGGGGACAGCAGGCCAGCACCGCGGGACGGCTGGCAAAGGCAGGACTCCCCTCTCGCCATCGGGCCCAGAAGGCCGGCGGTGGGAAGCCCAGACCCTGCGCCCCCCCCCTTCCCGTACGCGTCCACGCCGTCCCCCGAGCCGCCTGTTTCACACCCCACCTCAGCCTTGAGCTGGAGGAGGCCTGCGTGAGCCAGAACCCTCGCTGGCCCCGTGGCCCTGTCTCCCTTCCTCCTGAGCTTTCCCGCCAGTTCTTGGATTCCAGAGTCCTGGAAACAGGATCACGTTCCCTCTCCTGATATCCTGACTGTTTCAGACCCACTCCTGGCCCTGGGGGGCGGCCCCCCAAGTCTACACGAAGACTCCCCATCTCCTTGGTGGGCTCCGGTCAGGACTGCCTGCCCCTTCGCACCTTCCTTGACAACTTCAACCTCCCACACCCCCCCCCCGCCCCCCGAGGGGCACCACGCACCCCGGAGAAGGTACCTCCTCTACGGCAGCCGACCGCAGGGTGGCTCTGTGGCCCGGCGTGCTGTCTCGGGTACCTACCCCAGCCGGTCAACCAGGTCCCAGAGCACGTTGGGCGTGGGCACCAAGGGGGAGCCGTCGTACAAAACCAGGGCCGCTCCCGTGGCCAGAGCGGACACCATCCAGTTCCACATCATCCAGCCGACCTGGAACAGAAGGAGCACAGTGCCAACCGAGCGCCGGGCCAGCCGCCCTCGCCTCCACCGTTCGGCTCCTCACGTCCCTAGAAAACCTCCCGAAGCCGAGCCAACGGCTGCTGCGAACCGCCCCTCTCAGATGCACGAGGCTTCGCCCCGGGAATTTCACGCCAAGAGCTGACCGCGCACATCAGATCCACGCACACACGCACGCTAAGAGGGGTCAAAGAACGTCCTCCGTGGCCTTCCCGGGCACAACGGGAGACGGACGGCAGCGAGACGCCCGCCAACGCAAACGTGGTCCCACACGGGCACAAACTACGGAACACCACACACTGAGTCCGTGAACCCGCGTCCGACGTCTGCACCCAGATGGCCGCCCACCACGGCCGCCGAGAGGAACGAGGTCTGGGTGGATGCAGACAGGTGTCTGAGACGAGCTGAAGTGTGAAACACACCAGCAGAGGGCACGCACATGACCCCATCCACACCCGGGGGGGGGGGGTGTGCACAAACCCAGAGGCCAGCGGGGCACGCACGCTGCGTGTGAACACGACCGCCACGGCTGCCCTGGACCCCGGAGGACGCCGACATCTCACGTGCGCTCGGGCGTGCTGTGTGAAAGGGTTCCCACACGCAAGAAGTGCCTTTTCCGTTATCTATGAACGAAGTTTAAGGCACAAAGGTGCTGCCAACCACACCCACTGACAACAGCTTTCCCGTCCACGCGGGGGATCTGTGGGCGGTTCCAGAGCAGGGCAGCCAGAGGGAAGCTCCAGCAGGAATCTGCCCGCACCGAGGGCCAGGAGGACACCCCACCGGCAAGACGGCCTCGCCCGGCACCCCTGCGGCAGATCCCACGGGGGGACCGGGTGGCCACGAGGCGCCCCAGGCCGCCCGCGGGCACAGCCCGGCAGAGAAGCCCAGACGACGGCTTAGAAGACACGACTGGCACACGGCCTCGGCAAGTCCCCTGCGGCCTGAACCAGCCTCGGCAAGTCCCCTGCCGTCAAGAACCCGGCGGCCCCCGGAGCCCCCTGTCCTTCCCCTCGGCACCACCAGGGTCGCACAAAAATCTCAAGTTAGGTGAGCTGCCTTAATATCCCTAGCTGAGTTTCTTTCACTAAGGAACCCGTCTCCGGAAACCAGCACGGCAGCCCCCGCAGCTCGCGGCCCGGCCGACCCGCTGTCCAAAAAAGCTGCTAAAGGGGCACCTGGGTGGCTCAGTCGGTTAAGCGGCCGACTCCGGCTCAGGTCATGATCTCGCGGTCCGTGAGTTCGAGCCCCACGTCGGGCTCTGTGCTGACAGCTCAGAGCCTGGAGCCTGTTTCAGATTCTGTGTCTCCCTCTCTCTGACCCTCCCCCGTTCATGCTCTGTCTCTTTCTGTCTCAAAAATAAATAAACATTAAAAAAAAAAAAAAAGCTGCTAAGGTGGGTCACTAAGTGACACAACACAGGCCTGGCTCCACAGGACAAGCCAACCGCCTGTCCTTCATGGGCAGGACGCTGCCGGGGAAAGTGAAAAGCCTCCGGGAGGACCGCTCCAGATCTGCCACGTTCCGGGCACTTTCCTCGATGCAAAACCCTGTCATTTGAAACCACGTGGCCCCAGGAGGCCGCTGAGTTGGACGTGGCTGGGGCTGCGGGGGTCTTCGCGCCATTCAACCACGACGCCCCGTCAACCCTGCTGGCTGGGCTTCTGCATGGGAAGGGCCCGGAGGCTGGCACTGCCTGGCGCCACTGGCCCGCCTGTGGGGACGGGGTGAGCAGGGCTCTGGGATACATGCCTGCAGCTGACGGAGACCCAAATCACAGTGAGGAGCGAGGCGACCGAGCATCTAACTGCCCAGCTTCTGGGGCAGCTGGGGCAGGTGCCCTGGGTTCAGCCACAAAACGCACTGGCAGGGACTTGGGGCAGAAAAGAACTTCCGTGAGGGCAGCGGCAGCCAGTGCCTGGGCTTGGCGTGGTGGCTGCCTGGGCCGCACGCCCACTCCCAGGGCAGGGACAGGGGCCTCCTGGCCAGGCTCTGGGCTGGCAGGCGGCTCTGGTCCCCAGGGTGGCCTCTCTCAGGCCCAGCCTGGCCTCCGCACCGGACCCCCAGCTGTCACAGTCATTGGGAGAGCCACCTGGAAACACTTCCTATTACCGCCCAAGGGACTTAGTGGCCTCAAACGCCACCGATTTACTATCTCCGAGTTCTGCAGGTCCAAAGTCCAAAGTCAAGGTGTCTGCAGGACCGCATTCCTTCTGGAAACCTCCGGGGAGAATCTCTTTCTCGGCGTCTACCAGCTTCCAAAGGTCACGCACATCCCTTGGCTCCTAAGCCCGCTCACTCTGACCTCTGCTTCCCCCGGAACAGCTCCTTCTCTGACACTGACCCGTCCACCTCCCTCTTACAAGGACCCTTGTGCCCGCAGCAGGCCCGCCCGGCTGGCGCAAGTGAAGGCCCCGGCACAAAACCCCCGGCTGAACCGCATCCACCCTGAAGGAAGCAAAGCGAGAGACGGGAGGGACGCAGAGGGCAGGAGGGCACCCCCCCGACACACACACTCGACTCACCGTGGTGTAATACAGGAGGGTGTCGCTGCTGTTCATGTTGCCGTGGAGAACGTGTTCCTTCAGGTGCTGGATGAGGGTGCCCTGGGGAGAGGCGGGGGACACGGCGTTGAGCGGGGCGCCCCTGCGCAGACAGCACGGGGGCACAGGCGCAGAGCCCCGGGGAGAAGCCGACCTCCCGCCCCTCGCCCGGAGGAAGCAGACCGCCAAGCAAGCCGGCCTGGATGCTCTGCCAGCTGACCCGGGGGTCGGTGGGGGCAGCCTCGGACCGGCCTGTGAGCTCCGGGTACCAGAGAGACGGGGAGCACCGTGGGACCCCAACCCCAGGCAGAAAGCAGGAAAGGCAAAGTCAAAGATACGAGAAAACAGAACAGAAGCCCACGTGGCAACATGCACCTCCAGGGCGGGCGCCAGCCGGGCGGCACTGGGACGCTTCGCAAGCCTCGGACCAGAGCTCACGTGACCCTTGGCCGAGGGAGAGCACGAGGCCCTGCTTGCAGTCCAAAGGCCCAGTCAGACCTCCCGACCTCCACGCCCGGTCCATTATTTCTCTCCGAACGTTTAACGGGCAGGACGTGCACCGGGCCCAGCGCTCCGAGGCACAGGCCACGACGGGCCCCCTCCCCGGCCCCAGGTCTCCGGGCAGCCGCTCCCTGTGTCTATGGCCAGGAACCCTGTAGGTTCCTTCATGCTGGTTTTCTTATCCGGACGCACGGCCCTGCCCTTTGCTTTTTCCACGTAACGTGCCCTGGGGCTCCTTCTCGGGGCACGGAGCTTCCTCGCGTCTGATGTTCAGCTCTGTAATACTCCAGTGCCCACGCCCCCTCGTTCCCAACTTGCTCTGCCCGTCCTGCTGTGAGCCGCGGGAAAGGGAGCACCAGGCGGACGGCCGAGCAGGGGCCCTGCACCAGCCCCTTCTCTCTCCCGGCCTCGGTGCTCCCATTCTGCATGGATCTCACACACGATCCCGAGGCCACACGGAGCACCGCCCCTCGGAAGCCCCTGAAGAGGGCTGGCCCCACACTTCACTCTGGTCCGTGGACGGGAGCACCTGGCTGACGTCAGTGGGCCCCCGTTGTTTAGGGACTATCGGGGCTGAAGCGAGGACCCCTTATCACGAGCAGCCTTGACGACCGACCCTCTTTGTATCCAAGAGAAGTAAAAACGAGCCATGAGGGGGGAGATGATCCCTCTCAAAGCTCAACAGAAACCTCCTGCCCAACAAGTTCTCCAGCTCAAGAGTCAGAGCTCCCATTCCAGAACGTGTCCAGAGCGGCGCCCCTCGCCAGGCCCTTGAGGAGCAGCAGGGACCTGAGCCACTTGGGGGCCGGGCAGACCGCAGCACAAGGACTTCCGCTGGGGGGGGGGGGGACAGGTCCTTTCTGAGGGTCCCCAAGGCCACCTGCAGATTCCTGGAGCAGGCCTCCCGTGGCTTTATCGAGCATGCATCACGGGGGTCGGGGACAGCCCCCTACCCCGGGGTCAAGAGCTTCTGTGCAAAGTTCTGTGCACTGTTCTCCCTCAGAGTGGGTGGGCACCTGCTAAGGGACAACAATCACTTCAGGAACTCTCTCAGTCAGCACAAAACATCCCCACGGCAAATCCACAGACAGGGCCAGGGGCTCCCTGACAACAGCAGCCTGTGGCAAATCCCCCTCCCATTTACTTAAAATGGGCATTTAGGGGCACCTAGGTGGCTGTCAGTTGAGCATCCGACTCTTGATTTCAGTTCAGGTCCTGATCCCACGGTTCATGAGTTCGAGCCCCACGTCGGGCTCTGTGC